CGACAGTCTCATGGTGCTCAGACCCAAATCCAGGTCAGAAGTATGTGGAGCTCAGGCCAGGGAAGTGGGGTAGAAATCAGACTTTGCCCTCAATCAGACCATTTTCAGAGCACTGAAAGCTTATAAGTCCTCAGCATGAGCTGTCTGACATACTGAAATAACATAAAACTATATACCCCAAGAAAACATCAACTAGATCAGTCCAAATATGCCTTCTAGATGTGCACAGAGCCTCCTGGTCCTAACATCAAGTCAGAAGTCAGAAGAATAGGCAAAAAAAAAAAAATCTTAGAATAAAAAGCTACTATGGTAACAAGTATGCTAAAGACACTAACCCAGAAAAAAAGAGCGACTCAAAACATCTACAAGCAAAACCGCAGAGAAAAACATGGGTTGGGCACAAATTCAACTCAAATACCTAGAAAAGATGAAGCAAGAGTTTAACAGTATAAAACAGTATATATTAATAATAATATATAACAACATAATATAGTAATAATAAATGTTAAATAATGTTTTTGTCAATGAAATGGCAGTGCTAGAAGAAAAAAAATTGAGAGTTATAGAAGAAAAAAATTGGAAAGAGAATTAACTATTTGGCAGAACAAGTAAAGAACTTCTCACAAGCAGCAAACTACCTGAAAATCAAAATGGATCAAAAAGAAGTAAATAACTCCATGAGCCAATAATAATATTAAAACATCAAAAGACTTTAAAAATAGCAAAGGAGCTAGGATTACCACAAAGAATCACCTACTCAGCAAAACTGAGTATAATCCTTTGGGGGGGGGGGGGAATGAATATTGAATGAAATAGAGGACTTTCAAGCATTCTTGACGAAAAGACCAGAACTGAATAGAAAATTTGTCTTTCAAATACAAGACTCAAGAGAAGCATAAAAAGGTCAACAGGAAAGGGAACTCATAAGCGACATAATAAGGTTGAACTGTTTACATTTCTACATGGGAAGATGATATTTGTAACTCACAAGAACTTTTTCATTATTAGGGCAGTTAGGAGTATATATAGACAAAGGATACAGGTGTGAGTTGAATATGAAAGGATGTTATCTAAAAAATAAAATTAAGGAGTGAGAAAGAGGAATGCATTGGGAGAAAGGGAAAGATAAAGGTAGAATGGGATAAATTATCTCACCAAAAGAGACAAGAAAAAGCTCTTACAGTGGAGGGGAAGATGGATGAGGTAGAGGGGGGGAGTGCATGAACTTTACTCTCATTGGAATTGGCTCAAAGAGGGAATAATAAACACACTCAATTGGATATAGAAATCTATCTTACCCTACAGGAAAGTAGGAGGGGAAGGGTATAAGAGAAGAGGGGTAGTGATGATAGAAGGGAGAGCAGATTGGGGGAGGTGGTAATCAGAAGGAAAACATTTTTGGGGAGGGACAGAGTGAAAGGAGAGAGAGAATAGAATAAATGGGGGATAGGATGGAAGGAAATACAGTTAGCAATCATAACTATGAAAAAAAATTTTAATCAGGTTTCCCCCATAAAGGTCTCATTTCTCAAATATACACAGAACTGAATCAAATTTATACAAATAAAAGCCATTCCCCAATTGATAAATGATCAAAAGATATGAAGTCAGTTTTCAGATGAAGTCATCAAAGCCATCTATACCCATATGAAAAAATGCTCTAAATCACTATTGATTGAAGAAATGCAATTAAAACAATTCTGAGGTACTGCCTGACACCTATTAGATTGACTAATAGGAGAGAAAAAGGAAATGACAAATGTTGGAAAGGATGTGGGAAAATTAAAACATTAATGCACTGTTGGTGGAGTTGTGAACTGATTCAACCATTCTGTAGAACAATTTGGAACTATGCCCAAATAAAACCATGGATACCCTTTGACCTAAGGATATCAATACTAGGTCTGTATCCCAAGATAGATAAAAAACAAAAAAGAAAAGGACTTATATGTACAAAAATATTTATAGCAGTTCTTTTCTGGTGGCAAAGAATTGAAAATTGAGGGGATGCCCATCAATTGGGGAACGGCTGAACAAGTTGTGGTATATGATTGTGATGGAATACTATTGTGCTATAAAAAATAATGAGCTAGATGCTCTCAGAAAAACCTGGAAAGACTTACATGAACTGATGCACAGTGAAATGAGTAGAACAAGGAAAACATTGTACACAGTAACAGCATTTTTTAAGATGATCAGCTGTGAATGACTTGGCTATTCTTGGCAATATAATGATCCAAGACAATTCTGAAGGACTTATGATGGAAAATGCTATCCATCCCCAAAAGGAATAACTGATGGTGTCTGAATACAGATTAAAGCATTTTTTTAACTTTATTTTTCTTGGTTTTTTTTTTTTCTTCTGGTCTATGTTTTCTTTCACAATGTAATGACCAAACATGACTCTAGAAGATTAATGATAAAACATGCTAACCAAAAGAGTGGTAAAGGACTCAGTGCAAAATGAGACATATTAGATAGAGATAAGTAGATAGATAGATAGATAGATAGATAAATAGATAGATAGATGATAGATAGATAGATAGATGATAGATAGATAGATAGATAGATAGATAGATAGATAGATAGATAGATAGATAGATAGAGATAGCTAATTTGGACATTTGCTTCACTAGACATGTTTGTAACAAGAGTTTTGTTTTTTCTTCATTCTTAAGGGAGGAGGTAAGAAGAAAAGGTGGAGTTTTGCTGATTGAAAAAATCTATAATTAGGAAAAAACATCCCCAAGAGAACAAAACAAAAATACTTTTCTCCTCCCTATGTCGTTGTATTGGGGCAAGTGTGGACATCAAAAGAGCAATTATGAGAGAAAGAATACACCTTTTTTAGCTCTCATTTAAGTCAAGGCAATATCAATGGCTTTTAAAGTCAGCTAATTATTTTGATTGTCTTCATATTGAAAGGTACTTCTAAGTCAAGATTTTCCATTGGATGGGACTTGCCTCAGTCTTCTGTCTACTTGAAACAGTCTTTATGATTTTTCTGGGTCTCTTTAGATATGATGTCAAATAAAATTTTGTATAAGACAGGAGAAGGAAAAGATGAATGCTAGATGATGTTACCACTTCTACCATGAGATAATTGCTTCGAGAATCTGGATCACTGAAATTGTACACACATTATAAGCTAACATCTGAGAGTTTGAATTAGTCAAACTATTCTTTCCATTAAAGTTTTATTTTTAATTGTATTCAAAATTTTTAAAATTTAATTGTACTTTTAAATGATATGATAGTAGAACTAAGCATGAACCAGGATACTTTTGTGTTTTCCACTTTTGCATGAATCCAGATCTAGGACATTTTAAAGACTGATATTCCAGGTAACTTCTTAAAAGTCATTAGTTGACTTCAAAATGTTAATGCAAAATTAGTCTATAACATACTTTTTCTCCCTTTAATCTTGTAATCATGCTAAAGTTGGGATAGTATAGCACAAACTAAATATTAAAAGAAAATGAAATATTAACTGTGGTAAACATTTATTTTCTAGAAATGGAAAAAGTCTATGAAGTGTATCTAGCTGCTGAATCACAGTAGGTACTGGGAGTTAGGGTTAGGGTGAGAGTCACATAAAAATTTCCATTCTGTAGTTCAAACCTTCCTTCAGTTACTGAGAAATGCTTATCTGTACTATTTATCTGCATAGGAATTTCTATTCTATGGAGTAACTACATAAATAGAGTTCCCTTTGATACATTTAGTCAATTTCTGGAAAGGGCAAAAAGTGGAAGTGTGAAGAGGCCAGCATAATATTAGTTTTATCTCATGGATGAAACCTTTTGCTAATACTCTGCTGCCTTGTGAAAGGACAAGATGAAAAGTACCATTTTCCCTTTTCAGCTGGGACTTTTGCTATGTTGGATTGTTATTTTAGTTCTATGTACAGGACTAACAGGGCAAACAAAAATTGTTTATTTGCTGGAGTGACAACGTACAACTTTGCTTGTCAGGGAAGGAGAAGCTGCTGCTGATTAAGGGGAGTAACTGCTAAGATTGGTTAAGAAGGGAAGATTAATAAGGGGATATAAGTCCCTTATTTATTTATGAAAACTAGTAAGTTCTGTGACTGCAGAAGTTCTGCCCTTTGTGTTATGCAACTGAGATGCTCACAGGCTAGCAGATTTTTAGGATTGAGGAAATGTGATACTTTCCCTCTTATTCTCCATCTCCTCCAGCCCCAATCATTATCCCTCCTTGATTCTTTAGCCCGCTGATTCAATTCACAATATTTTCTGCTCCCTCCCCTTTCATTCAAACCTGTAATAGCGGCATACAGTAAAAATTCCAGGGACTTGTACACACAGGTTTGGGGAACAAGTGGGAAACTGACAGCGACTGATTTTTCTTAATTTCTGTCAGTTCTCTAAGCCAAGGGTGAGAAGGACATAGCAAAGGATCACGCGCAATTTGATATCCCCAGTAAACTCATTTTCCAAACTACAGAACCCAACTTGGAAATCAAAAGTAGCCATTCAGGGTTTCAAGACCACTAATGGTCTCTCTCTGACTCTTAAAAACTGGGCAGGCAAGAGCCTGGATATTCCCAGGGCCCGGACCTCTGGAAAGTGAGCAAGCGCTGACATTTTAGGCAGCTGCTGTTGCTGCAGACTAGAACTGATAGTTCGAGGCTCACACGCAGGCAAAGCTTCACTGTGGTCACCCACTTTAACATTTCTGACTCTGGGGGCACACGCACCTTGGGAGGAAGAAACACCCAGAATTGTGTCTGCCAGACCACGCACGCCCCACACAAAAATCCCTTCCCAGTCAAACCTCCCCTGCACTAATTAAACTCCTCTGTGAAGAAAGGTTCCTACGTGGATAATCCCCTTTTCAGGAGTTCTAAGACCTTTTTCCTCCTTGTTACACACACTTAATCCTGCGAACTCTGTTCCACACACCTTACCACGTCCCATTCTGCGACCAGCTATATGCCATAAGGGTGCCGGGGCGCTTTATTCTCCGCTTCCACTTACCAAACCTGATTACTTGCTGGGCAGTCCTGGGGATGCATACGTCTAGCGAGCAAATGAAACAGAAGAGTCTCCAGTGAACAAACTTGCTCCTGAGCCTGGAGCTGACAATAAGTGTGACGTTCTCCATCTTTTTGTCCTCTTAGTGTTGCCACTTCCTAGAGCTCAGAAGCTGGTCCTTACTCCAACTGGATCCCTTCTCATTCTCCTAAGGGGTTTCCTTCACTGTGCCCTGCTTATCTGTCTCCACAGCAGGAAAGAGTGATAAATATAGAATTGCAGGTGAGAAAGTGGCAGGCAGTTGCTTGTTGTGTTCTGAAATTGTCACTTTTCTTTATGCCATCACCACCTCTTCCATCAGGAGCAGATTTAGTAGAATCGAAGCTCTTTTTGAACCTGCGGGTAAAGAATTTTGGTGGTGAAAGTTATTGCCCTAAATAGCTGAAATGTCTCCGTCATCTGTTTTTTGGTCAAATGCAAAAGTGGGAAAGGTGGAGAGAGAAAGGGGATAAATCAGGGTAGAGAGAAGCAGAAAAAAGCAAGAGAATAGACATACTATATGCACTTTTGGAGAGGTTCTGAACAGTTAAGAAGCAGGATTTCCAGCAGATTAAATGGGATTAGAGCTACCCTTGCCTCTTTCATTCCTTCTCCCTGCCTCACCCTTTCTTTACTATGCTGTTCCTGCTCTCAAAACGTCCTCTATGCCCACCATGTAGGATGGAAATCTAATTAAATCTCTGTCTCCTAATGATAAAAGCAAATCTCATCTCAGTAGTCCCCAAAGTGGAGGCAGCTCATGTAGAACAGGTCGAAAAGAAGAACCTCCTTGGAAAAGCCCCCAGTGCACCTTCAAGAAAGTCTCAAGGACTTCCCACTTCTTCTCCTTTCCCCTCCTTCCTCCTCTTCCTTCTTTCTCTTCCTCATCATC